GGGGGGGGTGCCGATGGGGGCGTGGGGGAAGTGCACCGGGGTCCGGGGTCGACTGGGGGGTGGGGGGGGTATAGCCTGGGCAGAAGGAGCATCGTCGTCGGCGGAGGTGGGCATGTCGATGATGACCTATACACTGCCTATACACCTTATCAACACCTCATCAACACCTCAACGCGTATACGATTGGGAGGATTGCGGGAAAAACATACTTTAGAGTACTTGGGGCTCGGCGGATCAAGAGAGGAGAGCGTGATACCGCCGCGTCATCTTCTTGTCTTGGACGATAGAGGGTTGGTTCATTGGCTGGTTTTTGGTGGTTTTTGCGGAATACGTACTCGTACTGAGTACGAAGGCAAAGGCGGAAACAGCGTCGACCGGCGGACGCGTTTCATCTCTTCATCTCTTTCACCCCATCTCTCTCTTCTTCGGTCTATACCAAGTCAACCAGCCTTCTATCATCATATCATCATAGCAGTAGCAGAAGAAGGGATGAAGAAAAGACATGGAGACATGGAGACATGGAGACATGGAGACATGGTGCAAAGCAAGATGACCATGCATACAGATCCCACCAAGCAGAAACAAAAACGATAGATCCTGATCATTAAAGTAGATGAAAGACTAAAAATGCTGTACAATTAATTGTCCATTTATACTTTAGATCCTCCCCCTCCCCCTTTCTCTCCACTTGTCCTGCAGAGATGGGGGTGTTTTTTTTTTTTTACTGATCTATCCACATCTATCCACATCTCGCCCACATTCTCACATCACATTCTCACATCAAAACAGCACCACCACCCACCAACATCCCCACAACGCCCAGTCCCACGGAAAAGACCGCCCGAACGCCAGCAGACGAAGACCCCGACCCCGACCCCGACGCCGACGCCGACGCCGAGGATGAGGATGGAGAAGTGGCGGTGGGGGAAGCGGCGGGAGAGGAGGCGGAGGGTGTAAAGACGCCTCCGGACGTTTCGGCGGCAAGGCAACTTTGGGCGGCGGTATCTGCGTCGGAAGCTGTATTGGGTGCTATCACTTTTAATCAGCTTTTCGCTTCGCACCCCCGACACACACCGACAGAGGTAAAGGTAAAGGGAAAAGGGGAAAGGGAAAAGGGGAAAGGGAAAAGGGGAAAGGGAAAAGGGGAAAGGGGAAAGGGGAAAGGGACGTACCAGAAGACAAAGTACTCAGCGTCGCGTTCCCGTCGAAATCACAGCTCGTAGAAACAGGGTTGGACTGGTAGTAGACAGACATGACGTATTCGAGCTTGATGGCGGGGGAGCAGAAGGAGAGTTGGCCGTATGCGCCCGAGGTGCCGTTGCTGGAGATTGGGTCGCAGGATGCGGACGAGTTGGAGGAACCGAGGAGGGAGCAGGTGTAGCTATGTACGTGGGGGGTCAGCGTTTGGGTTAGAGGAGAGAGGTGGGAGGGGGAAGGGGGAGAGGGGAGAGGGAGGAGAGGTGGGGAGGGGGGAGGGGGGAGGGGGGACGTACTCGAGCAAAGACCCAATAATAGTAGGCGAATTCAACGCAGCATCCGTCAAATGACAAGCAAACGCCGTATCCTCCAAACAACTACAAACGCTCGCATCCGGTGTCGGCGGAAGGTCCGGACTGGCGAGGAGGGAAGAAGATTCGGCGGGGCAAGTGGTGGTGGACGAGCTGGAGGATGATTGGGAGGGAGAGTTGGCGGGGGAGGTGTTGTTGAATTGGGTGGCGAGGCGGGTAAAGTCGTCGGTTGTGGAGATGCTGGGGGAGTGTCAGTATTGGAAGGAGAAGAAGGGAGGGAGAAGGAGGAGGGCGTACGTTTGGCCGTCGTCGGAGATGGTGACGATACCATAGCCGTCTGAAGTGGGAAAGTAGGAGAAGGCGACACCGCCGCTAAAGACGTCAGAGACGGGCGAGACGTAGAGGGCGGCGACTTCGGTCCAGAGTCGAGGGGGGCTGGTGATACATCTACTCATGTTGTTAGTGAGATATACATGAGAAGAGGAAGAGGGGTGGACGTACCCAAACTCGGACATGTAGGTGGGGATGGGGAGATCGCTAAAGCCCGAGGTGATGGTGTCCCAGTGGGAAGCGCTGAGATCTTGGTCGCCGCACCATTCGTAGTTGTTGAAACCTATACACAAATCAGCTCAAACACACCAGAGAGGGTGGAAGGGCCTCACCATAGATATCGAGGATAGTGTCGTCGTCGCCACAAGTCAAGTATTCCGCGACAGAGTTTCTAAAGTCGGCATCCCCGTCTACGGCGGCGTACCCTACAAACGCCGATGAACCGATAGACCTGAGGTATGCCTTGGTATCACGCGCAGCAGCCTTGACGAAAGCTATCCCACCATGAGCATCCCCCCTGTCGCAAAGGAAAAAGAAGACTGACGAAGAGCATTGGTGTTTGACGCAAGATTGACGACTTCATTCCCGACATTGTACCCCAGAACATTGTCGTACGCGTTAAAGACGTTGATGGTGGCAGTGTATTGGTCGAGGAGGTTGGTGGTCCACGAGGGGGAGGAGCGGTCGATGCTTCCGTTGAGGGGTAATGAGAGATCGAGCCTGCGCAGATAGGTCAGCTGGTGTTTCTTTCTTCCTGCCTCGTGGGGGGTGATCGCCAAGCTTGGCCACCGGAAGAGAGAGAAAGAGGGTGGACTCACAAGAGGTAGATACCAGCGTCGCTGAGGGTTCTCATACAAGCGTCATGGTCCAAGCTTGAATTGACGCTGTACACCCGGACAGCATTGATGCCAAGCTGCTGGAGGTACGGCACGTCTCGCGTACAGTTCTCCGGTGAGGACAGGGGGTCGTGGAATGATGATCTGTTCTGATGTCAGCGTGGATTTGAGAAGGGATGGGGGGGGCGTACGGTTCGGGGAAGCCACCGCTGTAGAGGTAGAGGTGTTAGCGAACTGCGGGGAAGATGGGGAAGATGATGGGGCACGTACTTGGCAGAGTTTGCCTCTGAGCTCGCGGCGAGTTCACCTGGAGGCTGGTAGGCTACTCCCTGGAGACGAGTCAGCTATGCTCCGCTGGCGAGTGAAGGACTTGCCTTGATATAGAAGCGATCGCCAGCGTCGTCGTAGAGATACTTGCCTGCGCGGGTGATGGAGGGGAGCGCGGCGGCGAGGGAGAGCAGGTGGAGGCACCCGAGCGCAAGGGGGGCGGCGAGGCGCATAGCGGATGGAGAGAGGGGGAGAGGGAGAGGGACAACAAGGGAGACTTGAGGGACACGCGCGGATTGCGTTTCGTGGCGGTGTTAATCGTTTTCCCAGGCACGCTTCATTTGCCTCCGCATGCCTAATCCTTTGTTTGGCCCCGGTCCATAGAGCGAGGAGAGTGCATATACAGAGACAGCCAGAACCACAGCATGTAGACAATCAAAGATGTGCCCAAGTCTTGCTCTTCTCCCAGTTCTCCTTGACAAACTCCTCAACGTCGCCCCAGAGCGTCTCTGCCTCGCCCAACGCAGCGAAATGACCGCCCTACATCCCAACCCGTTGGGTGGGGGGGG